TACGTTCCCTAGAAACAAATCTTTCTCACCCCGCTCCCCAGGTATCTTGGCTTTCCTCGAACTCCGTTTTCACCACTACTTCCACCACGTCAATTAGTGTTCCTTGACCAGGAATCCGACTCCCCCCTCCCCCCTTTTCTTCGGGTCTAAGCCCTTTCTTGCCTTCCCTACCCACCGGTATTTCCCTAGTTTGCTTACCACGTCCCCATCCTTCAATTCCCACGTCTCTTGGATCCCCACTACATCTAGATCGCTTTGTTCTACTTGGTCCACTATTTCCAACCGCTTGCGCTCACTCCTTGCGAACCCGCACACGTTCCACGACCCAATAGGGGGGTGGTCCTTAATACCCGCACTTACTCTCTAGGGAGTTGCAATCCAGGGTGGGAAAAAAATGGTTCGAAATGTTACGTAGTACAAGGGTCTCCGGACGTGGGGGGCCTATGGCCCCCCCCGTCCTCTGGGTTGCTGTGTCTAGGTGATGGTGGAAGGGGAGTGGTGTGGATGGTGGGTGAGGCTGGATACCAAGGGCGGGAGTGTTGTAGTTGATGGGAAGGATGAGTGTCGCATGACAGAGGGGCCCGATGGAGGAACACAAAATATGTACTTAAGTATTAGATAGGAACGCCGAGATTTCGCATGAGGTCCTCAAAACAAAAGCAAAATCAGATTTGACTACTTACAAACGAATGTACAGTAGCAAAAGGTGCGCATGGGAAGACAACGCAAGCCCAGAACTACAGGAGGAAAAGATGACGCAGTACAATACGTGCAAGAGCCTGGAAAAAGGCGCAAGAAAAACAAAAAAACGGTTGTGACTGCTTAAAAAATGAAGACACGGTCGCCGGATGCATCGCAACCCACGCGCCAACTCCCGGTAGCGAGATGCATCGCACACGCGCCAACTCCTACTCGGAGGGTAGCGGCTGCTGTGTTGAAGTGTGCGCGTGTGAGCGTGGCGCGGGTGTGGTGAGGAGACTAATACGAATCTTTACTTCCAGAAGTTTGGGCGAAGTTTTGACCCAACTAAAGATCCAGAACCCACAGCAGCAGAGAGGGCTACGCGCTCCCGTCTTCGCTGGGCGGCTTCGTTAAGCTTGCTCAGAAACTGTGATCGACCTACTACGTGAAAATTGCGCTTGCTACAAACCGCACTAAAGGTGAATAGACGGTAGTACGTGCTGGCTATTGAGGGTGTTCGTGTTATTTCTCTCCCTGCTGGCAACACAACCTAAATACCAAAACCCCTCAAAACGGGACTGTCACCTTTTTACGAACGGAAGACGAAAGACGTCGGTTCTGCGGGTTTCAGCGCGCTTTCACGACACTGATTCCCAACTCAGCGGGCACAATCGGGACCGCGCGAAATGAGTCATTCTGTTTGCTAGGCCACCAGGTGCCACCGTGCGAAGGCGCGAAGTCTCGCCGTGCGTCTGGGCGCGCGCTATGAGGGCGCGAAGTTAACGTACTGTTCTCAGAGGGGGTCGAATCGCCCCGCCGCGCTGTGAGCGACCCAGTCCTGAAGATCCCGATTCCCGTAAAACTAGTAACCTCTATTGGAGGCTCGTGATCGTTTCTGATTTGATTTTTTTGTGGGGGGCGGCTGCGTTGAGGGACGACGTTCCCCTCAGTGGCGAAACATTGTGCACACCATGTGTTCACTCTAACGTATTCCATAGATCTATCATAGTCAAGGACCGACCGGCATTGGCGCGAAATTGCCGCCAGAAAAGTGCGACAAGCATTCGCCTGCAGCAGCAGACTGAACTCGGCTCAGATATGTAGATTATGTATCATGGCTCTGCATGCTGCCTTGAAAGAGGGACGACAGAGGGCATTAGCAACTCGCCGATGGGGCTATGACTTTCCTGCCACACCCCTCTACTTTGTTGGCAAGTGGCAAGCGGTGGCCGATCTGAGGAGTACGAAGTGATGTTCCACTTGGGGCTGTCCACTTGGGGTAGGGGCCGACAACGCAACACAACATCACAACGAGGAAGAGTGACACAATTTGCTCAGTGTTTTCTCATGGGTGGGGGAACACATGACCGTCTGCGGATGGTGGCCGATCTGAGGAGTACGAAGTGATGTTCCACTTGGGGCTGTCCACTTGGGGTAGGGGCCGACAACGCAACACAACATCACGAGGAAGAGTGACACAATTTGTTCAGTGTTTTCTCATGGGTGGGGCGGACACATGGCCGTCTGCGGATGCCCGGTTTTAATACTCACTCGTACATGCCTTGCCCATTCTGACTACAGCTTGTATTGGAATGTTCTTGCTGTTTTCGTTTTCCAGGAAGCGGAGGGCGTCTTGCTCCGTCGGTTGGATGCCTTAGAGCGACTTGTCTTCGGCCGATCATGTTCGGCCGCTTCTTCGGGTACCGCTAGCCTGGGTCGAGAAGTGGAGCCTCTAGCAGCCAAAGTCAAGGCCATCTCTAAGAGCGTAGCGCAAGCGGAAGGAGGTGATCGGAATCTCCAGGACATCGCAGCTCAAGGTGATGGGAATTGCTGCTCCAGTAGGCTGTATGTATGGGAGAAGGCAATGGAGCGTTTGGATCCCACTTGTGAAACTTGTCAAAACCTGTTGTAACGGTGTACTAAAGGAGTGTGCTGTTGCCGTTTTTGGAAAACGTCAGGCAAATGGAACAGCTCGTACGTGCGATCCTGACAAGCGAAAAAATCACCGGAAAGGCAGCGCGGTTTTCTGGAAGCGTGCGCGCCGAATCTTGTTTGCATCTGTCTTGTCTATCAGCCTGCCTTCATCTCGCCCTCCTCCATCACCAGGATTCTTTAGTTTTCGGGTTCCTCTGTTCTTTTGCCTCCCACTCTTGCATGTTTCATCCCCGTAGCACGAAGCACGAAGCTCATTTTTTCCCTTCCGTGGCCAAGGTACGTGCTAGACAACTGCAACTCGAAGCCTACCCTGCCTGCCACTCAGGGTGCACCTCTAACGGTCGTATTCCGCCTTTTCACGCCGCCCATCTTCTGTACCAGCTGCACGCCTGGGGCTACTTTCGCCGCTATCATCTACGACAACTGCAGCCTCCACCCACAACGTGGCGCTCAAGGAGAACATCTTGTATGCGGCGAGAGGGGAGATCGAGACCACCGCGCGCTTGCTGTCGCAAGTCAAGACTTTGCAGGAACACGTCAATCCTCCGTACCTCAAAGGTGACGGGTTTTGCACATGTGGAAGTGGAAGTCAAGGGTAAAGGGTTGCAAGTGGGCTGCCCGCTCTTCATCGGGTAGGTAGCGTTCCACACGTGGAAGATCCAAGCTAGATTTGGTTGGGTTCTCGACCACTATCCATTATTTCATATCGAAGGCCAGCGCTCATGCTTTCCTCCCATCCCCTGGCTTGACCCATGCCTCACGCTTGCGACCAGATATGCCGCAGTTGACTGCACACCTGAGCCGGTTGGAAGGCACATATCTCCAGCAGGCAGCGGAGGTAGCCCGAATAAACGAGCGCGCGGAGAACGCTCTGCTCCACTACAGTGAGGTAACGCGTGATTTCTTCGTACGGGATCGTGGCGAACCTGGAATGGCACCGCCTGGATGGTACCTCTCGCCCAAAACCCAGAGTAGTTCCTTCCAAGACGCTGGAGGCGAACTCACACATTTTGAAAGCAAGCATAGCCGTGTACCAATACCAATACTTTTTTGCTATTGTTTTTCTTCCAGGCTTGGGCCAACACTCGCTTGATCGACCTGTCTGATAAAACGAATATCGCCTGCGAGATCGTCTGACGATATTCCATTTTTTATTGTTGTTCCATCAGGCGGTGAATCTTGTGTCGGAGAAGTTCGTGCACTGGGACGATCAAGTCGCGGAACTGGAGCGGCAACACGCGTCTCGATCATAGAACAATGTATCATATCCTCTGCACCCTCAAAGATCGCTTGGGTAGCGGAATATTATTATCTTAAATTAGTTGGTGTTGATGTACCGTATATGACACAAGATAACACACCCCCTGGACCGATTTTCAAAGCTCGATTACTCCACGACGAAGGGGATGCATGAACGAAACGATACATTTTAGACAAGCTCTCGATGAGACGGTTTCAACGCCGCCGTTTTCGGCGCTATGACTGTTCCTGCAGTTGAGAAATCGAGCTTCGAAAATTGGTGAAGGGGGTGTGTTATCTTGTGTCATATACGGTAAGTGCGCGTGCGTGCGAGTGTACAGTTCCCCAATGCCGGTGTGAGTCTCACAGACTACGTAATCGCACATTTGTGGGAGGTTCGCCGGAGATATAGGCGGTCAGATATTTTGCTGTTGCTGAGGGTCGGGTATGAGCTCTGAGTACTGAGTGCTGAAAGAATTTGTTGATGATGTACCTGAGCAAAAAAAAAGTCACGGAGATTTCGCAGGAACCAACAAACGAACCCCATGGCGTTTTTATTCCGAGACCTGAGATGCAAAGGAAATGTTCCACCTCGGAGTATTTCACCTGTAGCCCTCGTCGCAGAAGGCGCTTCATCATCCCAGAATACTTTGAAAATATTGTCGCGGCCCATGACATCAACGAGAAACTGCACATCACATACATCCACACAACATGTGCATGTTGAACTTGCATACGGTTCCAGGTGATTCAATCATTTTCCTGGCTAAAACACAGCTGGATTGAATCCAATTCAATCCTATCCGGCTTCCTCCCCATCAATATCACCCTGGTCTTCCTCCGCGCTCTCGGTGTCCATTGCGACGGCACCCTCGTCTTCCACCCCGGAAGGGAGCGGCACCACACATATTTCGTTCCGGGCCTTCTTTTGGTGCTCCCACCGCCCGAGTCGATGCTCTTGCCCTACCGCTGCTACCAAGAACTTGCCAGTGGACGACACAGCAAGCCCGTTGACAAACCCTTCCAGCGGCACAGATGCCACCTGCACAGGACGGTAGCCAAGACAGCGCACACCAGACACAAGCCATGGTATATTTGCACCCTGATGGCCGCGAACGAAGGCAGTTGGGCAAGAGACAGAATGACACACCCTGATAACTCCCTCCCCACTTGCAAAAATGTAGTCGGGTCAAGGGCAGCAACAAGTACACGGTCCTCTACGCAAGCAAGATCTTCAACAACAGAGATTTCCCTTTGCAGCTATTGAGCGTGGCAAAGCATCGGTGCAAACGTGCGTTGAATCCACCACGGACATGCCGGTCTGAACTCACTTGCTCCAGCGATCTCGCCTCAACGTCCGCACGCCACAATCGGACCGACCCGTCGTTGGAGCCGCTGACCACGAGGTCCGACTGCTTGAGGCAGCCGATTGCACTAATCCACCGCGGGATGCCCACCGCGCTGTACCCGTGCGCCGCCGGCACCAGCACCGCGGGTTTCTTCTTCATGGCGAACCAAAGCGCGAGACTCCCATCTTCACCCCCCGTCGTGAACCAGTCCTCGTTGAGCATCCTACAGGCATGACGTTCGCCAACATTTAACCATTACGGAAATCGCACCAGCCAGAACCGCACAATCAGTACAGTCCAGATTGACAAGTCACACTACACGAAGCGATTGGCGGCAGGATGGAGGTGATGCGTCGACGTTCGGGAAGCTATCTCTCACCTGACGCAGTCTATGCTACCCCCCCCAACAGGGCGGAACACGAGGTGGCTATCCTCCAGCACTTTCCATAGTCGGACCTGTCATGCAAGACAAAAAAGGAAAAAATCAACGGAGTTGTCTCCGGTAAATCGTAACTACACATAATGAGCGCGTCCCTCACTCAGTACATCAGCGTGTCAGGGCGTTCTCGTTGTCAACTAAAGCCCAACCTTCGACCACCGTGCCGGACACACTCGGCAAATGAGGAAGGGAAGGCGCTGCGCCCACCACACTCACCGTGCGATCGCGCCCTCCTGTAACCAGTCGTTCTTTACGCCACGAATCAATGGCATTGATTTCTGACTGATGACCAAACATAGTCTCCACGTAGCCCATCTCGTTGAGATCCCAATGCTGCACAAGGGAAGGAAGTTCGGGTGGCGGGGTCTTAGATTTTTACCCAAGCGAGATTAGACGGACTCCCTCTCTTGAGGTACATCGGCGGGGGAAACATGAGACAAGGGCAGCGGCAGCGAGACGTCCTCTCTCGAAATCACGGTGAGCGCTTCTGTGCGAAACTGCTGTAACGCAAACGATACCGTACACATGACGCTTGATTACGAAGTCGGGGGTTGTCAACATGTGATAATTAATTGGTTTCGTAGAAAAAAAGGGCAGGCTGCCAAGCGCACAAACCTTGACGCATCGATCGTGAGACCCCGAAAAGAGCGCCAGGCTGTTGGCCCGGAACGCGAGAGAGGACACCGTGTCCTGGTGGCCACGGAATGTCTCCACCAAGGTGTCGGTACGACAATCCCACACGTTGATGAGGCGATCTCGGCCTCCGGAAGCCAAGTACCGACCATCGCCGCTGACCGCAAGGGTAAGAACCTTCCCAAGTGGCAACATGGCGTGCGTGGGAAGTACCGTGTGAGCTATCCTGCCACTCGAAAGCGGGCAGATGGTGCATGAAGAACTGCAAAACAGAGAGCACAGACCGCCAGAGATACACCCTCGGCTCAACGTCAACCGAGTGTGAATGGCTGGGTGGACCACTTTCCGCTTCAAGACTGACCTCTTTGCTGTGCGCCTTGACTGAAGGCACCTTGCCCCCCGGAAGCTTACGCCAGTAGGGTAGCATGGTGACACGTTTGCCGGTTTCAACGTCCCACCGTATTATCGAGTTGTCCTTGCTGCCCGAGAAAGCCGTGGTGTCATCCGGTGACAATACTACGCATGTCGGGCTCAGCTTGTGCCCGCGCATATGCCGTACAGCCGTCGGTGAGATCTGCTGACCTTGCAGGCCTTTCGCCACCTGCAATGGGTGGAGGAAGAAGGCAAGTACTCAGTGCGCGAGAATGGGTACGAAGTAGTGAGACGACATTAGCCACCTGAGTTAATGCAGCGAGAGCCTACATCGCTGCTGCTGCGCTCACGGAGCTGGATCCAGACACACATAAAGTAGGCGGAGCACATGTCAACCATCGATGGAAAAAGAGGTTGGCGTGTTTGAATACACGACGACATTCGTCACAGAGGAGCCGCAGCTGCATGAGGGAGAGGCACACCCCCTCACCGATCCCATGACAGCACCTATTTAGTTCCCTGTGGGTCAATGCTACAAGGCACACACACCTCTCTGTAGAGCTGCCCGGTTGCTTCGAGACGAGCGTGTGCCAGTTTTTCTCCAATGTAGTCCCCAGGGGCATCGTCTTCCTCCTCGTCAGTCCCCTCTTCTCGCTGGCAACAACAACAAGCGTGTGAAGGGTCAGAAGGGATCAGAATTAGTACAAAGCCGGATCGCCATCTCCAGTGGAGGACTTGGCCGCCAGAGTCGGCGTAATCCTTTGTGTCGGTAACCATCTCATGTAAAGTTCCTAGCGCTCAACTGAGGGTCCAGTCTCTTTTGCTTCCCGCGTGCCCGCTCGGGCGGGCCGAGCAGCACACAGACGAATGCGGTTCCTCCCCGCCCGACCC